TTCACTTCCTGTCCAATAGCCACAGTCTGAAGTGAGAGGAAATCCTGACAAAGGGAGGAAAATTTCTGGTCGGAGGGGTCACCAGAACTAGTGTCTACACTGGAGGATTTTCCTTGCATCAGGACAAATGGAGAGGGTGAATCTCCCTAATGGGGATATAAACAGCAATAAAAACCTAGTAGATGTAAGAATTGAAGCGTCACACTGATTAGAAAAAGTTCAAATATAACTTTACTCTGTTAGAGTCAGGGGACATACAAGTAGAGAAGCCAATACATTTCAGGGGTCCACAACACACCCCCTTCATCAGGGCCTAATTCCTCTGACATCCCCCCAAAAAACCAACAATTTTGACTACACAAACACTTCTACAGTGCTGACATTAGCCCGCCTGCACCTCACAGTCAGCATCTAGATCAGGGGTGGGCAAACACTGGCCCTCCATCATACATCTGTCTCTGGAAGTCATGCCTGTTGCTATGAGAATCTTGCAATGCCTCATGAGACTTGTCGTTCCACAACAGCTGGGGGGCCAGAGTCCCCTGATCTTTTTTTTTTTAACTTTAATACTTTTTTTATTTTAATAGTACAATACATAATAAACACTTTTACATCCATAAATACATATTTAAAACACTGATACAAAAACAAACATCAATAAATGACAAAAAAAAACATTTCTCATCATACCATATTACCTAAAACACAGGACTCCACAAGATACCAATAGCAGATAAGGCAGACATTATAACCAAACTCCTTCACTATATTCAATCCACTTATCCCACATTTTACCATAATTCCTAACTTAATTCCCTCAAATCCAACCACTTTATCTAATTCTTTCTTCCATTCCTCCACGGTGGGAGGCGCTGCTGCAATCCACCTAAAGGCTATACTATGCCGAGCCACAAACAATGCCCTCGTCATAGCCACCTTCATATAATAGTACTACTCCCTTCACGGATCCAAAAATACCCAGATACACATCAATGGATTATTAGAAATATTAACTCTAAAAGCTGTATTTATTATGTCCACTATTTCCTGCCAGTATTGTCTCAACTTCGGGCATCTCCACAGCAGATGAATCAGGAAACCTGGTTGAAACCCACACTTTGGGCATTTAGAATCTTCCCTGAGTCCTATCCTATATAGGAATTCAGGGGTCCGGTATGTTCCATGTACAATATACAGCTGTGTTAATTTATGCGATGCAGACGGTGAAACTAATTGGATGGGAGCAGCGCCTCCCTCCAAAGGGTATTGTCTAGTGGCCCCAGATTCCCAACCCACTTTACATTTCATAGGAGATTTATTCAGAGCCCCAGGCAATAAATCTGAATACATTCCCACCCCTGATCTACTGTGATTAAAGGTTTTCACCCCCCCCCTTTTTTTTTTTAATCCAAAAGTAGAAATAAAAAAAAAGTTCTGGCTAAAGTTCCACTTCTTCTTATGATATGTAATTGAATATTTCAGATTTATTAAAGTTACTGCACTAAGTTTGCACTTGCCAGCACTAATGGTGACCTTGGTCACACCTCAGCAATTTTATTTACACATGAAAAATGTTCTTGTTGTCTTCAAGGGTGCTTGTTCACATCTGAGCGTCGTGTCGCTTGTAGATTGAAAAAGTACACAAGCTTTTTTCAGGCAGAAATGGGTGTTTTGGGCCCCATTGACTTCTATGGGAGCACCTAAAAAACCTGCGTCTCCGTCTCCTATTGCTGTACCTAGGTTTCCATTCCAACACTCAAGTCTAAAAAAGGAATCTAAAAAAAAACGCATGCGCTCAGGTATGGATGGGTTTACCAGTTTTATACAGCTAGGCATTGTTATGGGAAGGGATGATTTACAACATTCTGTAACCCATAACAGCCAATGAGAAATCTTACAATAAGGGGAAATCTAAATGGTTGCTATGGGATACTGGCCTTTGCACATCCCTGCCGCTGTTTGATCCGCCCTACTGACTAGACTTTGTACCAAAAATAATAAGGCCGGATTCACACTTCCACGTCGCTGTGACACATGTAACATGCATCAGCAGGTTGCAGTGCCATTTATATTGAACGTCACCCAGGCACACTAAGACAACACACTGGCGTTGTAGTGCGCAGAAGTGCGTTGCCATGCATTGCGTTACAAAACAAAGGGCACCACAGGATGTGTTGGCAATCCATTTATTTTGAATGAGCTGCTAAACACATGACATAATGAGCGTTAAAGAAGTGAATGGGCCCTAAATCCAGTGGCGTCACAAGGGGGTGCGGCCCGCACCCGGGTGACACCAAAATGACTGACAGTCATTTTGGTGTCACCACCTCTAAAGTCGGGCACTCGGTCATGGACCAAAAGCCCGACAGTGTCAGGAGAGAGGAATGAGGTATGCCGCCGGGTGAACGGCCCCTCCTCTCTCTGTCGGCGTCCATCACCAAGATGGCCACCGGCAGGCGTCAATTAGATGGTCGCACATGCGCGATGACGTCACGGCGGGGTGTCACTCGGTCTCTGCTTTGGGTGACACTCGGCCGCAGGACGCCCCTGCCTAAATCAAATGATTTACCTTCTAGAATATAAATAATTATATATAATTCATATAATAATATAAATGTGGAAGTTAGCAACGATTAGTCTCAACAACTGTAAAGCAGTCATATCCGTGCATAACACAAACTGATAAAGTATACGAATCATTAAAGTGTATATCTAGCTAAAATCTTTTTTTGTTTTTATTTTCGACAGAGCGGGGAACGATAAGAACTCCTGTTAGGTTTTTACTGCTAACAAGACTCCCCGTCAGGTTTTGGAGAGATTCACCCTCACTTCCTGTCCTTCTGACAACATTTTACAAGACAGGAAGTGAGGGGAATGTTCCAACAGCAGAATAAAAAAACAATAATATTTTGTTTAGTAGAGAAGGGGAAGGCTAGAACCCTTGTCAGATTTGTATTTCTGTTTTCACATCCCCCCACTTCCTATCTGGTGAGACCTTTCGGTCCGAAGCTGGACTGTTCCAAACAAGGACGTGCCATGGGCACTTATACCCAATTATTGGCACGCAGGACATTCCCCACCCCCGGCAGCTGCATGTAAACAAAGGGGCGGGATGCTTGTGCTGACATCATATTTACTTTAATTGGGCACACAGCCGTATTAGGCAAATGTAATTTACCAAATATAGGCATTTCGCCATATATGTAGTCAATAACGTTCCTGCATCCCACCCCTTTGCATACATCAAGCTGTAGGTGGGGAATTCTCTGCCTGCAGCTGATTGGGCGGCACAGAAGCAGCTTCCTTCTGTCCATGCTCCTTGCTTAGCAGGACAGGAAGTGAGGGTACATCTCTCCAACAGAGCCTCGGATACCAATAAGAACCCAACAGAAGTTCTAATCCTCTCCCAAACTAGAAAAAAAAATGTTTTTGTCACATACACTTTAATAAACGATTTACAACTTCCTGTTTACAATAAACATTTTTAGAAGAGGTTGCCTAAGACATGAAAATTATTTCAAGGCTTCCTCCAAATGGAGAAGTGATGATGTGCAGGGGCTTGATGCAAACCCAGTACGCCCAAGCTTGCGCAAAACTGTGACTGACACCCCACTCTCCTCCTGGGCCAATCAGCTGCGGCAGGAGCATTCCCCGTCCCTTTGTGGTGTGAAGATGTGGGGCAGGAGATGTCTCAGCCGCAACCGATTGGGCCAAGTAGGAGGTGTGTGTTAAAGTGCCCATACACCTTACGATTATCGCACGACGATCGAACAGTCATTCGATTTTCGCACAACTGCCCCATCATGGACAGACCATTGTGGGTTTCAATCAGCGTTTGTTAGCAATATCACCTTGCCGAATTTGGTCAATTGACAGAAGGATTTGCGTTTGCGCACGAGCAGTCCCAGATAGCAAAGGTAACTTGCCACAAACTTGTGTCAGGGTTAAATTGTAATTCTTGTAAACTTGCTGCACACATTCCTGGCAAGTTGTAAACAAGCAGAACACTTGCAGCACAAGTTCTAGTTGACACTTTTGGAATTTGTAGCAAATTTGCTTGGCAAGTCTACAGCAAGAGTCATGCAGGTCTTAGCAAGAGCTCTGCAAGTGTACAGCACTTTTACAAAGCACGTTGATCTGGAGACTTGTAATGCAGACTTGCTGTAATTGTGCAACAAAATTGTGAAGCTTGGCAAGTCTAGCAATAGTTTAGCAAGTCATTTTCAAACTTGCAGCTCAATTGCTTGCTATTTGGGATTGTTCTTGTTGCAATCTTTTTCGTACGAAAACGCCACTAATCCATAGAATTTCGTATGATTCCATCAACGCTTTCTAGCCTGCTGGAAAGACAAAAGTCGAACGGTTGTACAGTAATTGTGGTTGTGCACTTCCCATCAACTGTGCGATTATCAAATGAAAAACGCGATCGCAGATGAAAACCGTGCGATAATCGTAAGGTGTATGGGCACCTTTAGGCACAGTTTAGCGCATACGCTTGGGCAAACCGGTTTCGCATGAGGTCCCCATACATCACTACTCACTTCCTGTCCTTATAAAAAGAAAGTGAGCGTAAATCACCAACAGACAGTAATGGAAACTCAGAAGTAAAAGTGACTTTGGATACTAAAGTGATGTCACTGCGGTAGCTCCAGTGCCACGGAAAGGAAACACACATACAATATACTAAAGAACCCATAACAATGATACATACAAATACTGATACAATCAGAGTGCTACCTTCATAACACACAACAAAACAAACATGAAGGATATACTAAAATCATACAGAAATGAAGACTCAAAACAATGACACACTTGCAGAGCTCCTTTCATAATATTGATCACAAATATTTACAAACATGAAGGAATTACTAAAATACCAATCAAAGTGATGTAGACAACTAGTGAGAAAGGAAATCCCAGCTATAGGTACACCTACTACATACTGCTGGACTCACAAAGCACAGACAATGATCGAGCTCCAGGTTGCTGCCACTCACCATGCTTTTTGCTATAAAAGCCAACATGATTGCTGCAGGACTGATCTGCTTAGATCCCCAGATCAAAGTCCCAGTGTGAGCTGGGAGCTGTCAGTATCGGGCTGATCTGTCAGTCACAAGGACAGTGTGACAAGGGTAGATGGAAACTTCATTGCTGATCAACTGTGTATTGCCCATAGTGACGAGGGTGGGGCGCAGCCGCCATTTTTAAAACGGGCATGCCCTTTAAAGTGCTTATCACACCCCCGATAGCGTTAATCGTTAACTCGAGACGCTGCCATGTACATTCCAGCTGGGCCATGAAATGTCTGGAAATCTGACACCACGACCGATTGCCAGTGACAAACATGGCGCCTGAGCAGCCGCCATCTTTTCTAATGGCAACTATTTAATAGTCGATATTGGGCGCTCGCAGAATGTATTTGTTAGTTTTCTCCAAAAGGTAGCGCATATTTTATTGCTCAGGGACTAACTGAAAATTAACAAATTAGTTTTAAGCGTATTATAAAGATTTGCCCTTTCCAAAGATGGCCGTCAGGCGGCTTAGGAGCCAGCCATTTTAAAAACTGGCAAATGCCTTTCGTTGAGGTGAGAGGGTGCTTTTTTTGTTAGAGGGGGGCTATTTAATAAAGAAAACGGTAATGGCGCCGACTCTTTTATGAAAGGGGGGAGAGGCGATAATTGTATTTTCAGATAAAACGCGGGAGCGAAAGAAGGGGGTGTGTCTGTCTGTGGACAGGGGGTGAAAGGTCAAAGGTGAAGAGTTCCCGGCTGCAGGAAGATGGCTGAGAGGGAGCAGCAGACAGGTCTGTCACTAGGAAGCCCCATTTATTACCGAGGCTCAGTCACATGGTGTTATGCTGAGCCCAGGTTGCTATAGTAACTATGGGGAGGCAGGGGGCGCAGCCTGTGGCATGGTTTCTAAGGAACTAGAAGTCCCAGCATGCAATAAGAGCATCTATCTCTGGATTGTACAGACAGTCCCAGGTGCTGGAGATGTGCCCTAGCCCACCTTCCCTGAATACTGCATTCACTTTCTATGCTTTTTAAAGTGACTCTCCAGCCCAAACTTTGTTTAGTTTTGGATAGAATAGGGAAGGGTTATACCCTCCGCCTGGTTTCTACTGTCCGTGCTGTCAGTGGGGAGATTCACCCTCCTTATCTGTCCTGGATGTGACGAGAGATCCAAAGTGTTACTGCTGTCACCAGAATAGAGTCATCTTCCAGCCTCCTCTGGTGACAACTGACACATTCTTCATCTGAGTTCCTTTCCAATGTCACCAAGACGGAGAGTGATGGGAAATCCAAGGTTTACAGTTGTCACCATAACAGTAGGTGGGGGGGGGAGATTTCTCAATGAATGCAACTGTTCTGGTGACAGCTAAGACGGGATTTCCTCCTACTTCCTGTTGTGTCTAAGGGGCAGTAAGTGAGGGATACCCCCCACTAGGGATGCACCGATAACGGTATTTTGGTACAGAGTACCGATTATTTTTTTTTTTCCGGTACTCCCCGATACCGAGTACTGGAAGTCACATTCAGGAAGCAAGGCGGCGTTTAATGACTCGCTACCTGGCTTCCTGATTAGCCGGGAAGCCGGGCAGCGCGTGAAGACTCGCCACCCGGCTTCCCGATTAGCAAAGAAGCTGTCTCCATGCTTCTTGTCACTATGTGACGAGAAAGCATGGAGCAGGCTTACTGGCCAATCATGGAAGCCGGGCGCCGTGTAATGACGAAGGTGACGAGGGAGCATGAAGCCGGCTTCCCTGCCAATCAGAAAGCCGGGCGCTGTGTCATTACACGGCGCCCGGCTTCAAGATTGGCCAGCTTCCCGACCAATCGGTTTCCTGATTGGCCGGGAAGCTGGCTCCATTCTTTCTCGCCGCAAGTGACGAGGGAGCATGGAGCCGGCTTCCCGGCCAATTAGGAAGCCGGCAGCGTGTAATGACACGCTGCCCGGCTTCCTGATACAGGAAGTATCGGGCTAGGCATCGGAGCATTTGGGCGAGTACAAGTACTCACCCAAATACTCGGTATCGGCACCGATACCGATACTAGTATCAGTATTGATGCATCTCTACTCCCCACCCTTCCTCTCCCTGCCAATGAGGTTACAGACCGTTACAAAACCTCAAAGAGGTACTAACCCTTCCTTGATCTCAAACCAATGTATCACTGTAAGGCCCCATGCGTACGGGAATTAAAATTCTTGAGTCTAGGTGGGTTTGAAGCTCATTTCTACACACCTGGAAGCATGTAATGGCTGAATGCACACCCAGATGTAGAGCGGGGGTCCAGGCACATTCAGTTTACACAAAGTTAGAAGTTTCTGCATTCTGGGACCACTTAGCCCAGTTTGAATGCAGCTAAACACATGTACTAAGTATACACACACTGGGGGGAATTGATCAAAACTGGAGCAGACAGAACCTGGAGCAGTTGCCCATGGCAACCAATCCGCATCTCTCTTCAGTTTGCTCAGGTAAGATTTGGAAATGAGACAAAGAAGCTGATTGGTTGCAGTGCAAATCTGCTCCAGATTATGTCTGCTCCAGTTTTGATAAATTCCCCCATTGTGTTTCCTATGTGACGGAATAGAAAGGAAAGTCGTTCCTGCCTGTACTAGATACAGAAAGTACTGACATTATATGGGAAGAGTGAGAGAGGAAGTAGCTGGAGGATTCTGGGAGGAGTGACACCGGAAGTACTTGGCGGTTATTGGAAGGATAACGGGGGTGGCGGCAGCAAGTATAGCACGGGGTGTTATCCGTGATGAATGATAGCTCTGGTGTATGCAAAGTCCCAATTATGGGGCGCAGAATGGCGTCTATACATCGATTCTGGGAGCTCATTTCAGCGTATCACACCGATTACCTTTTTTCCCCCTTAAGGAAGAACTCCGGGCAAAACAAATCTTAACCCTTTTAGTGGGGCTAGGGCCCCCCCCCCCCCTCTCACTGCAAGGGTTAGGTGCTCATTTTGTCTAGGGAGCTAAAATAATAGATATACTCACCCGTATCGCGATCTCATCTGGCTCCTAGACCGTTCTCTTCAGCCTCCTCCTCCACACCAGTGAAGGAATGTCTCTTGGCGTCCTCAAGTTGTATAGGATGTGATAACTCACAGGACCCTAGACCGCCACAGTGGAGGGACCAGACTAGGAGCCAGCTGGGATCGTGGTTTGGGTGAGTATAACTTTGTTCTTTTAGCTCCTAAGACAAACAAGCACTTAAAGGAGAACTATGGGGTAAGTGTCTTTCCCCATAGTTCTCTTTAGGGTCACGGGGGGACATATACTAGCGTCCTCACGTGACCCGAAGCTCAGTATATAACGAGCTACAGCTTACGGTATACTGAGACCGCCGCAGCCGGAATGGATCCCGACATTGCTGTCTAGATCCACCCAGCTGCGTGATTGACAGCGGGCTCTGCCTATCTAGAGACAGAGGGAGCTGTGCTCGCCCCCTCCCCTGTCTGTTCCTCCAGTCAGTGCTTGAGGATTACAGAGGGGAGGGGGGGAATCACTACGGGGAGCGGCGACTGACATTCACTGCTCAATGCAGGGAGATGATCGAGAAGTGATCGGCTGCATGTTTCTGCTCACTCCCCGATCGACAGAGCCAACCTGTGACAGCTTCTTTGTCACAGGTCAGCTCTAACTATGAAGATAAGTGGAAATCACTCACCTCATAGTTCTAGCCGACCTGTGACAATGAGATTGTCACAGGTCGGCTCAGTAGATCGGGAGGTTCGCTCACCTCCCGATCCTGTCACGGCTCTCTGCCGTGACAGGGGAGGGGCTGGACTCCCCCCTCCCCGATGCGCCAGCGCTGACTGGTGGATCGGACGGGTGAGGGGGCGGGTACAGCTGGCTCTGCCTCTAGATAGGCAGAGCCAGCTGTCACTCACACAGCTGGGCGGTGTCTCAGTATACCGCAAGCTGCAGTTCGCGGTATACTGAGCCTAGGGTGACGGGAGGACGCTAGTTTGTGTCCTCCCGTTACCCTAAGGAGAACTATGGGGAAAAGACTTAACCCCATAGTTCTCCTTTAAGCCTTGCAGTGTGGGGTTAGCCCCAGTACAAGGGTTACAATGTTATTTGCCTGGAGTTCTTCCTTAACTTAATTTGGAGTATAACAAGTGTAAACTCTAGTGGCTGAATGAGAGAACTTGCTTGATTCCTCCAGCCACAACAAAGAGTAGGGATGGAGAGATCTCCCCCGCTGGCTGTTGTATTCTGACAGCTGGTACCCTCCTCTGTCAGAATACCCGAACAGTGCCTGCGTTTGGCTGCAATCACTGTTCAGCCAACAATTTTCCTCCTGGCTCCTTGTTGACTGATACATCGAGCCGGGTGTTGGCCGCAGGGCCACCCACAGCTCAAATTTTGACCTAATCCGCAGACGTCAGCCAAAATTTGAGCAGTGTCTGGTCAGCTTTAGTTTGGATAGAGTGGTGAAGGGTTACAACCCACTAGGAAGATTCATTCTCTATCACTGGGACAGAAGATGATGGGAAATTGAGTAGAATAGAGAGTAAATATTCCAATGGAACACTTGTTCCGGTGACAGCTGTCTCAGAGGGGAGGATTTCCCTCAGTTTGAACCCAGACAGCAATAAAAAACTAGATCAGGTATTGGGGCAAGTGATCTGCTCATGATTGGTCTGGGATTGTGAATGGTAAAGCGAGGCTCCGGATAACAGTCCTGCGGCTTGCACCTACAAAACAGTCACCAATGACAGTTCTCAGATTTCTGACCTATGTAAAGAATATAAAGGTAGGAGGAGCTGGATTAAAATGTAGGTTGACCCCACAGTGAAAATATAAATGGCATCGAAGCATACAAGGGCCCTAGTTGGCATCTCATGGACCCGAAAAGGCTTCTAGGAACCACTTTGGGGGGGATCCTAAAGGTACAGAAAAAAAGAGCGCCAGACCAAATGTTTTGTGACCACAAGGAGTTTATTTCGTCATAAAATGTCAAAAGAACAATCCAGCTTGTTTGGGGGTCTCAGGCTTGAATGGCTTGAAAATGATAAACATGGAAAGGTCAGTATTAAGAGCAGGTCATTGCAAAGCCTTTGGAGCCTCTTCTTAATACTGGCTTGAGATCATCTAGAGCAGGCGTAGGCAACCTTGGCCCTCCAGCTGTGGTGGAACTACAAGTCCCATGAGGCATTGCAAGACACTGACAGCCACAGGCATGACTCCCGGAGGCAGAGGCGAGGTTGCCTACCCCTGATCTAGAGGCTTACCAACAAGTTTAATCCCTGATGAAGTCACACTAGAACTGCTGAAATAAGTTGGTTTGTGCTTTTGACCTTTTATGATGAAATAAACTTCATATTGTCTGAACATTTGGTCTGGCACTCATTTTTTTTAATGTACCTTTTAGATTTCTGTCCTGACAGGTTCATTTTAAAGCATAACCCAACTATCCAAATTATTTGTTTTGTGTAGTGGAGAGTAGGGCAGATCCAGAGCTTAATGAGTCTTTCAATAGCCAGATGGGCAGTGTATGAAAGGGAAGGGATGAGACACATAAATACCTTTTATTTACCTCTAACCAAGGCCAGATATCCATCAATGGATTGTGTACGCACTCAACCATTGGAGCCCAAATCTCTAGTGGTGGATATACATGATTGCTTAGGGCAGCCTTTCTCCACAAGGTTTCCATGGAACCCTAGGGTTTCCACAGACGTTTCTAGGGGTACCTATTTAGCCATCTATAAGGGTGACAGATTTTCCGCTGACCACCAAAAAGTAAAGAGCTTTCTTCCCACTGGCCACCAATGTAAGGGGCTCCTTCTCCACTGACCACCAATGTAAGGGGCTCCTTCTCCACTGACCACCAATGTAAGGGGCTCCTTCTTCACTGACCTCCAATGTAAGGGGCTCCTTCTCCACTGACTTCCAATGTAAGGGGCTCTTTCTCCACTGACCATCAGTGAAAGGGGGTCATCACAATTGATCACCAATGTATGGGGCTTCTGCTCCACTGACCTCCAATGTAAGGGGCTCCTTCTCCGCTGACTTCCAATGTAAGGGGCTCCATCTCCACTGACTTCCAATGTAAGGGGCTCTTTCTCCACTGACCATCAGTGAAAGGGGGTCATCACAATTGATCACCAATGTATGGGGCTTCTGCTCCACTGACCTCCAATGTAAGGGGCTTCTTCTCCACTGACCATTAGTGTAAGCGGGCATTAATCCACTGACCACCATGTGAGGGAACGCTACAGTATATGACAGATTACCGTCGGAGATATCAGACATAGTAGCGGAGGTGATCAGAGACTGCAGATATGCAGCAGGGGTAGTTGGGGGACTGAAGATATTACAGGAAACAGAGACAGGGGACATGCTACACGTGGCTGTAGATCACTGTCATTATAGACTTTTTTTTACAATTGAATGCTTCCACTACTGACTGCTTGGGGTCTCCGAAAGGCTGCAGAGTAAGTACCAAAGGGCTGCACATGGCCCTCAGGCTGCAGGTTAGGGCCAGAGCCTTAGGCTGTTCTTTTGGGACTAAGCACTATAATAAAGAGCATTGCTGTGGCCTATAAATGTACTGGAGTATTTATTGGTTCTGTTAAAGAGTCATATGACTGCAATAAGTCCCTCCTCAACTCTTTTCATGCTCGCCTCCAGGACTTCTCCAGAGCCGCTCCCATCCTCTGAAACTCCCTACCCCAACCTATCCAGCTATTTCCTACTCTATCTGCCTTTAGGTGATCCCTGAAAACACATCTCTTCAGAGAAGTCTATCCTGCCTTTACTTAACGACCGAACTATTACACTCTCAGACAACTCATCCCCTCACAGCTACCACCTTTTGTATAACTTGCCCCTCCCTTTTAGATTGTAAGCTCTTACAAGCAGCGCCCCCCCCCCCCCTTGTCTTGAATTGTAACTGTGCTATCTTCCTTTATATTGTAGAGTCCTGATTTATAAATTGCCCCCCAAATGCCGTTTTACTGACGATGACATTGTGCTGCTATGGCTCCTGTGTTGGATACAGATCCCTTACAAGCATTGTATACATTTTACAGTATGTAGTAAGTATCTTTCTTCTCTCTGACAGGCTCCCACCAAGGATATGATGTCCTTCCATCTCTTGTAGGACATATCTTCATTGTTCCAAAGAAGGAGATCAACACAGTCCCGGACATGGCCAAATGGAAACGGTCTCAGGTACAATCAGTATTCATTTGGCAGTACAGAGTTTAAAGTGACTCAGTCATGAGAGAAGTATGGGGGCTGCCATTCCGGTCCTGCTTCTCGAAATGCTAGATGCCTGGCAGTTTCTGAATTCAGTATGTTAGTCACATGCCTGGAATAAGCATGCGATAAATGGGTGTCAGAGCTACATATTTCTATACTTGTTCTGGGACTCAGATAGCATGGACGTCAAAGCACCCAAAAGGCAGACAGGGAATGAGCATTTTCATAGGAGGGTTCAATAATGGCAGTTTTTACTACACTCTCATATTCTTTTATTTAGTTGTTTACCTGGAGTTAAACTTCAACATACACTATATTGCCAAAAGTATTGGGACACCCCCAAAATCATTGGATTCAGGTGTTCCGTGAAATTTCCTTGCTACTAAATATTCCACGGTCACCTGTTAGTGGTATTATAACAAAGTGGAAGCAACTGGGAACAACAGCAACTCAACCACGAAGTGGTAGGCCACGTACAATGACAGAGCGGGGTCAGCGCATGCTGAAGTGTGCAGTGCGCAGAAGTCGACAACTGTCTGCAGTCAATAGCTACAGACCTCCAAAGTTCGTGTGGCCTTCAGATTGGCACAACAACAGTGCGTAGAGAGCTTCATGGAATGGGTTTCCATGGCCGAGCAGCTGCATCCAAGCCTTACATCACCAAGTGCAATGCAAAGCGTCAGATGCAGTGGTGTAAAGCGCGCCGCCACTGGATTCTAGAGAAGTGGAGACGTGTTCTCTGGAGTGACTAATCACGCTTCTCTGTCTGGCAATCTGATGGACGTGTCTGGGGTTGGCGGTTGCCAGGAGAACGGTACTTGCCTGACTGCATTGTGCCAAGTGTAAAGTTTGGTGGAGGGAGATTATGGTGTGGGGTTGTTTTTCAGGGGTTGGGCATGGCCCCTTAGTTCCAGTGAAGGGAACTCTTAAGGCATCAGCATACAAGACATTTTGGACAATTTCATGCTTCCAACTTTGTGGTAACAGTTTGGATGGCCCCTTCCTGTTCCAACATGACTGCGCACCAGTGATCAAAGCAAGGTCCATAAAGACATGGATGAGCCAGTTTGGGGTGGAGGAACTTGACTGGCCTGCACAGAGTCCTGACCTCAACCCGATAGAACACCTTTGGGATGAATTAGAGCGGAGACTGCGAGTCCGGCCTTCTCCTCCAACATCAGTTCCTGACCTCACAAATGCGCTTCTGGAAGAATGGTCAAACATTCCCATAGACACGCTCCTAAACCTTGTGGACGCCTTCCCAGAAGAGTTGAAGCTGTTATAGCTGCAGAGGGTGGGCCAACTCAATATTGAACCCTACGGACTAAGACTGGGATGCCATTAGAGTTCATGTGCGTGTAAAGGCTGGCGTCCCAATACTTTTGGCAATATAGTGTATTTATTTGGAGGACTTCACAACTGCAGCCAATTTTGTAGAGATGGGTGATATGTTAGAACCTCTTTAGACAAACTGGAATGAGTGCCAGACACGCATATCAAGAATCTGTAACTGTATTTTATTATTCCATAGGTGTCAGAGGGGTATCAAAAGACAGCCAACATGTTTCCAGGGCCAGACAGTCTTCCTTCATCAGTGCTTTGACAACAGTTACATAATCGTTCAGACTCAAAACTAGGAGCCTGGATAAATCAGTGAGAGCTAGGGGAACAATAAAGTATAGTCCGTGGATGTCTGTGTTCAGAAGCTATGTGGCATAGTGGCATGGTTGTGATTTAAAAGGCTTTATCTTGGTACCTAGTCAGAGGAGCATATCACTAGTATGCTGCCATGGATGGGAACCAGGTATGGAAAATTACGGTAAGTATTGATGCAATATTCCGTTTTATTGTGCTCTATGCACTTTCACTTCCTGTCCTAGTTACAGGGTGTCACAACAGGAAATAATGGAATCTTTCTCTGATGAGTTCAGAGACAAATACAAAAGCACATTAATTTAGCAGAGCGGAGGGGAGTTAAAATATTTGCCAGGTTTTTATTGCTGTCCATGTATTCTTGTCCTGTGACACCCATACCCTCCCATTACATGTCATGATCTGAGGAGCTGATCTCCACACTGATAATAACCGATTCAAATGTTTAGGGGATGCCAATACAGCTGTCTATGGCAGGGGTGGGCAAACTCCAGCTCACCAGCTGTGGTGGAACTACAAATTCCATGAGGCATTGCAAGATTCTCACAGCCACAGGCATGACTCCCAGGGACAGATGCATGATGGTATTTGTAGTTTCACCACAGCTGGAGGGCCGGAGTTTGCCCACCCCTGATTTATGGCATTCTCAGGTGTTGTTGCCGCTTGTCAGGTGCTTTACAGAAACAGGTTGATTTGGAATTACTGTATTGTAGAAATAGAATTCTGTGGTCTGTACTGCCACCTGGTGGCCTCTAGTGATGCTGCATTTTGTACATTTCCAACTCGAGTGCTTTCATGTATGGAATACCAGTTATTATCCTGTAATGTGCACACTTCCTAAATCTTGCAGCAATAATTTAATAGGGGTATGATTGGCTAAAAAAAGGCCTCCAGGCAAACTTTATTAGGTGCACCTGTTCAATTGCTTGGTAACACAAATTGCTAATCAGCCAATCACATGGCAGCAACTCAATCCATTTAGGCATCTAAGCAAGGTGAAGGCGACTTGCTGAAGTTCAAACTGAGCATCAGAATGGGGAAGAAAGGGGATTTTTTTAAAAATAAATTCTTTTATTTAGGTTTTTAACGAGAAATAAAATTAAATCAAGGCATTCACAAAACGGGGAATGACACATACATCAAGGTTATATGCCCAAGTCAATTTCAAACAAAGCATAATTGAGATACCCGGGAAGGACCACGGTATGCATGTCGGTAGTCAGAAATATGTCTTGAAATATGATACATGCACCATCAGCGGTGGGCTGAGGGCAAACCATTGCCATTGCCATCAATAGGGTAAAGGATAAAGGACCTTCGTCCACATTTAACCAGGTAGGTCATAGGTAGTTTGTTGGGCGCAAAAAAGAAAGGGGGAAAAACAGAAGGGTAGAAACATACATTGGGACAGAGAGAGAGAGCAAGATAGGATGCTAGAACGAGAACAGCAGTCATTCCGGAGAGAGCGTCATCACTTAGGATTCCATAATTGCCCGATACTCGTCAGTCATAGTGTATTCAATCCAGTAATGCCAAGTAGCATTAAAACAAGAGGAAGAATCTTTAATGAAGCTGGTGAGATCTTCCATCAATTTTATATCATTCATTTTTTGGAGAACCAAAGCCAAAGGGAGGGTGGGCTCCTCTGCTTCCACAGTAAGGAGATACATGCTCTGGCTGCATTTACCATGTGCACTAGCACAGACCGTTTGTACCCCTTAAGCGTATACTGGTTTGGATGGAGGAGAAAAAATGCTGGATCAGCCGGAAAGAAAGGGGATTTAAGTGACTTTGAACGTGGCATGGTTGTTGGTGCCAGACGGGCTGGTGTGAGTAGTTCAAAAACTGCTGATCTACTGGGATTTTCATACACAGCCATCTCTAAGGTTTACAGAGAATAGTCCCAAAAAGAGAGAATATCCAGTGAGCGGCAGTAGTGTGGACGAAAATGCCTTGTTGATGTCAGAGGTCTGAGGAGAATGGGCAGACTGGTTGCGAGATGATAGAAAGGCAACAGTAACTCAAATAACTACTCGTTACAACCAAGGTATGCAGAATACCGTCTCTGAACGCACAACACATCGAACCTTGAAGCAGCTGGGCTACAGCAGCAGAAGACCACAGCGGGTGCCACTGCTGTCAGCTAAGAACAGGAAACAGAGGCTACTATTTGCACAGGCTCACCAAAATTGGACAACAGAAGATTGGAAAAATGTTACCTGGTCTGATGAGTCTCCATTTCAGCTGCGGCATTCAGATGGCAGGGTCAGAATTTGATGTAAACTACATGAAAGCATGGATCCATCCTGCCTTGTATCAATGGCTCAGGCTGGTGGTGGTATAATGGTGTGGGGGATATTTTCTTGGCACACTTTGGGCCCGTATGCTATTATGTCAACATGGACTGAAATCTCTGAGGAATGTTTCCAACACCTTGTTGAATCTATGCCACAAAGAATTAAGGCAGTTCTGAAGGCAAAAGGGGGTCCAACCCAGTACTAGCAAGGTGTACCTAATAAAGTGGCCGGTGAGTGTATAATAAAATTATTGTGTAGCATTTTAAAATTATTTTTTAGATCTACATCTAAAAAATATCCATTTACTGCAGGTTATGTTATCACTGTGTGTCAAGTTTGAAAAAGATCTTTTTTTTAATATGCGAGTTGTAACTTTTATATGTAAGTTGGGTAAAGACATACAGGGGGGAATTTATCAAAACCAAAGCAGACAAAATGTGGAGCAGATTTGCACTGCATCCAATCAGCTTCTCTCTCATTTTCAAATCCTACCTGAGCAAACTGAAGAGAGAAGCTAATTGGTTGCTAGGGGCAACTGCTCCAGATTCTGTTTGCTCCAGTTCCCCCCACAGTGTTTTCTGATACACATATGCAGGTTCTGCTGTGCTACTGCTCTTGAGTCGCTCAACTTATTGGAAACAGTGCACTATATAACAGCCGTATAGTGCTGCTATTTTATTGCAATAGATGTTCAGAGCAGAGTGATTGCAAAGTAAAGCTGAAGTAAGCTACCAGCCGAAAAAAAAGAAGGTTTGGGCCCTCGGCAGCTTTTAGCTATAATGTGCTAGTATGCCCAACATATTTGCACATTAGGGGCGACTTACCTGCCAAAGTGAGCCCCTCCAGCGCAGCAATGTCAGCGCTCCTCTGTCGCTGGCACTTTCATTTTCTTCTGGTCTTTAGGTTCTTTGACCGTTTTTGATTTCCACGCCGGGATGATGTAACTCCCGCGCATGCCGAGACTGTACACTGAGCTGCACATGCTCAGCTTGTGCAATATTGCAAAAAAAAAATAATTGT